CTGCAGCCAGGGGGATTGAGGAGGACCAAAGTAGCACTGGGCCTGGAGCCAGGGAACAGCAAGGGACACGGTCTCGAGGGACATCACCCTCCCTACTCCTGGCACCAGCCAGAACACCCCAGAGCTGCAGGAGAGGAACACAGAAGCTCCTTAAAGGGAGGTTTTGCCCTAGGTTTGTGAGCTGCCAGAGGCAGGTCTGTTTTGCTGCCTGAGCACACTTCTGATCTACTTCCAAAACAGCCAGTAAGGAGCGAGGTGGGTGCCTAGGGAAACCTCTAGGAAAGGTGATGGATTACCAAGTGGAGAGGAACGCCAGGGCCAGGCCCAGGGAGGCCTTTGTTCTGGAAGGAATGTGCACAGACTCAGACACCCTGGCTAATGGCCCAGAGTGGCCTCAGGGCTGCCCGCCCGCCGGGAGGCCAGATGTGGGCCTGCGCAGTTTATTGTGGGCCCACAGTGAGCGAAAGACTGCAAACTGCAGCTGTGCTCCAAAGTAATGAAGAGAGCCAGGATTCCTGAACCCTCTGTCTGGAAATAACTGGCTCCTGCGAGCCTGGAGTAGGCCAGGCTCCCCTGTAAAAAGAGAACCAACTACAGGCACTTACATGGCCCTGCCCACAACTTCCTTCAACCTCTTTTGTAACTTCTGGATTCTGATACACTGAAAACACCAGGGCTTGGTGTTTCAGCTTCTCCTAAGCTGTTTCATGAAAATCTTCACACAAGAGGTGCCACAACACACTGTGACTGCTGAGGCACAATGAAGGAGACACCTGGAAATTTCCTGGTGCTGCGGAGTGTGGGCTGGCTCCCAGTCATCAGCAGGCATCCTGGTTAAAACTTCCTGGGCCCTATTTGGGCAGCTGCGGTCAAAATTTCCAAAGATGTCTTCTAATCTTTGAAACAGAAACAAGGCCAGCCTGTAAGGGGTATGTGACTGGAATTATCTCTCTGAAGAGAAGAGGAAGAGGAAGGGCCAGTAACTTAATGTGCCATAATTAGAACTGAAAGGAAGGAAGAGAAGATGTAAAGAAAGGCTGGTCTCGGTGTCCGAGGAAGCAGCTGGGACTTGAATCATGGCTGTGGTGGTTGAGCCTGACCTGCTCACTCAGGCAGGGAGAGGCAGCTCTTCCAAGGGCTGGCGAAGATCCTTTTCTGAGCAAGAGCCCCAAGCACTGTAGAAACTCAACTCAAATCCAGAGCCCCTTCTAAAAAATGTAGACAGCTTGGAAAGTCAGATTGTGGTTAGAAAGAGAAGCCAGCACAAGCCCTCTCAGCCTGGGATGGACAGACAAGAGGATCAGTCCTATTGGGTGGTCCCTTTAAGGAGCACCTGACCCTCTCTGGTCAGGGGAAATTTTTCTACATCACTCGTGTGGATTCCTTCAACATAAGCTTTCATTAAGTTTGCCTATTTGGGATAAAATATATTAATACTAGATTACTTCTTTTTTTAAAAAAGACAATTTTATAGGAGTCATTACGATGAACTTCAAGAATTACTCCTCAGGGCTAGGGAGATGGCTCAGCAGTTAAGGGCGCTACCACCAAGCCTGATGAATTTGATCTCTGATACCCACATGGTGGAAAGAGAGATGGACTCACAAATTGTCCTCTGACCTCAATACATGGGCCATGAACACACACACACACTAAATAAATAAATAAATAAATGGCTGTAAAAAGTAAAAAAAAAAAAAAAAAAAAAAAAAAGAGAGAGAGAGAATTGCCACCTTGTCTGACACAGTGGGCATTCTAAAAGCTCCTAACTGTTGCTGTCCTTCACTTCCCAAGCAAGATGACTTTAGTCATCAGCCACCCTTTCTTCCTAGGTCTCCTCAAATGTGGCAGGACATCTGTACTAACACATGAAGAACCCTAATCTTGGCTACACCAGACACCACAGACAGGCACAAAATGAAACGAGAACCAGTCACGGTAGCTCATGTCTATAATTCCAGGACTTGGGAGGCTGAGAGTGTGAGGCCAATATGAGGGATGCCTCAAGATCCCATTCCCAAAATAAATATAAATAAAAGCAAAAGAGGGGACCAGGCAGTCTCTCAGAGTACAGAGAGTTGGCCAGTAGGATGTCCCTTAGGGGAACCTGCCTGCCACACAGGCACTGAGACCGAGTTCAGCACTATGTCCCACATCACGGCAGCAGTGGACATGCACAAAACACTCCTGATGCAGGATTCAAAAAGAATGTTCAAGGACTTGAGAACCTTAGATTTTTGCTTTTAAAGAATAGGTACCAAAAAATCAATGTCCCTCCCCCGAACTGTGCTCAGCAAACTGTACATCAACATGGAGATGGATATGACAAAACCTGATCCAAAATTTGTGCCCAATCAAAGAGAATGAGTGCATTTACGTAGGAGTGGTTTTCTTTGTTGTTGTTGTTGTTGTTTTGGTTTTTCTTACCATCTTGGGTTTTGTTTACTTTTTGTGGTGCTAGGGATCAAACCCAAATCTTTACATGCTGTACCACTACACCCCAGCCTGGGTGTTTTAAAATGTATACATTCCTTGCCACCCATAGTAAGAAATTTAAACACCAAGTCCACATGGAAATGCCCAAAGGATACATCTGCTCCCCTATGAGAATTAAAAGTAACTGTGCTCTGGCTGTTAACACTACTTTCTGAAAAACAAAGAATAGCTACAAGTTAACCAAATGCCTACTTAAGCAACTGATTCAGCCCCCTTATTCTAAATCAACAGAAACTACTGCAAAGGCCTTTTGTGATTCCTCATTATTGGTTCAGTTCTGCCCAGGTGAGTTAAAGACCCTCTCCACCCCCATGCCCCAGTGCTTGTCAGGGTCATACAAGAAGGAGCAGAGTCAGTTCATGTCTTAGAGAACTTTAGCCTGGACCCAAACTATCTGTCCTTGCTTCTACCAAATGGTGCAGACCTACCAGACTCCACCCAGACATAAAACAGGAGAGTAAGCAGTAAGAAATCCACTGGATGCCTGTGAGGAGCCCTGGCAGCAGGCAAATGCACAGACCTTTCTGTTTGTAGGGACCAGAGAGCTCTTGATCGTGGTGCTCAGCCCCTTCTCACATGCAAGTCCAGACATAGGGTCAGAAGAGGCTTCCCTGGCACAGAGAGTTTGCTGATGCAGTAGGCTGATGCTAAGGAACAAAACACAGAGGCAGACAACCAGGCACAGGCAGACCTCTAGTCGTTCCTGGACTTTAGAAACTTGCTTGGCATTTTCCTCATCTGCTAAGATGGGTCCTTGTATGCAGAGTCCTGGGCAGATAGGGAGTTGTGACTGCCAGATAGAGACTCAAAAATCTTCCCCTTCAGTCCCTTCCACTCGATGTGCTTACCTTACGGCCTCCTTCCTTCCCTGATTACTGTTGTGCCATGTGCAACACCTCCTACGGCAAAGTAACATATTTTGATCCAGTGCACTTGAGCTCCAGAGTTACATATGCACGTAGCTCAATTTCAAAACATGGAAGGCTGAGAGATAGTTTGTAAAAGCCAATCCATTTGCATTCCCCAAGCTACTACTTTTTCTGTCTTCTAACTGGTTATGGTTTTGATAGAAATTACTCAGCCACTGCTGCTGATAGCTTTGGCAGTGTCAGTTGAGGAACTGCTGTCCAGACTTGTATTAGGATCCAAATGACAGAAGAGGAGCGGCAGCCAGCAGCCAGGAGGGGGGTCCACAAAGTCCCAGGTCCTGCCCCCAGAGTCCTGGGCTACACTCTGCCACATTTCAACATCTTGGGCAGGTTCCTTGGCATTTCTTTACCCATCTGTAAAATAGTATAAAAACCCCACATCCCTGCAAAAGCTTTTATTTGAGTGAAATGAAATGAATACATGCAAAGAGTTTAGGGCACTCCATCAGGGCTCTTTATTGCCCTTCTATCCGTTTAGGAGGTCACCATGACTTTGTCTGAGGTCTGGCTTCTTGCCAATTGCCCCAGTTAGCTCCCCAGGACCCAGCTCTGCGACTGCTCCCCCCAACACACACACACACACACGCACGCACGCACACACACACACACACACACGCACGCGTACACACACACACACACACGCACGCACGCACACACACACACACACACACGCACGCGCACACACACACACACACACACACACACGCACGCTCTACAACATACACACTCCACAGCCGGCCTAGATAAAGTCCTCCGGCCTCCAGCTGCAGCCACTCCCCACCCCCTTTTTCCTGGTCCTCAAGGCCTCAGCACAGAAAAGCCTTTCTTAATACTTGTTGATTGATTTGCAAATATAACCTCCCAGGCTCCAAAGAAGGAAAAGCCAAAATCACAAGGACACTCAAATCTCATTTAAAAAGGAAAGAATGAAAGCACTTTAAAAAGAATTAATATGTACAGACCAAAGGCTCAAGAAATAGATCAAAACGTCAAAAGTGTGTGTTATGCAATATTGATACCATAATTTTTGTATTTCTAGTTCGGGGTATATTTTTAAAGCTCTCTACCAGCATACTTTGGGGGGGGGCACATCTCAGAACATAAAAGTTTGAGTGGGCTGCGGGAGGGCCTGAGGAGTCCCAATCAGCTGCGACTATCCTGGTTAATGGTGCAGGCTGGCCCCACATCCTGGAGGGAGATTTTTTTGTTTCCAATCACGATAGAGAGTCCGGTTAACCTGCTGGCACGGTCCAGAATGCCAGTGGGGGAAGGGAGAAGTTCTGGGTCCCCTACCTCCGCCGCACGGATTCTCATTTAAATCAGTTCAAGTCAAAACGTCCCCGAGCTCAGTGGTCATATCACAGCACCGGATCACAGAGCCCCTGGGACCCCGGACCCTTTCTCCTGCTTGTCAGCGACAGCCCCAACAGGCCAGGAGGCATGTGCCCCAGGTGCCCCAGTACAGGCCTGAACGCCCCCAGTCCTGCTCCTTCAGAGGGTCTGGAAAAGGCGGGATGGGACCCCTGCCTCCCAGCCACGGAAAGGAAAGGGAAAGAGGCGCTCGAGGGCACTTGCCTGGAAAGGGCGGGAGGAGAGTCCTGAGTTATCCCAGTGCAGCCCCAAGCGGCTCTCCGTCGCGGCGTCCCCGACTGTCCCCGGGAGCAAAGTCCGCAGGGCCGCGGCGCGACAGTGCGCTCCGCCCCCGCCTGCTTGCACACCAACCAGCCCGCACCCCTCCGCGCCCCCAGCCGCGCTCGGCCCGGGCGAACCCACCCGGGGACCCGGCTCCAGCCCTTGCAGCTCTGGACCCGAACGCCCTCCCCGGGTACCACCGCGCCCTGTCCCCGCACCATGAACTAACTTTGCACCCTACCAGCCCTGTCCCCGCGCCGCAGCTCCAAGTCCCCGCGCGCCTCCAGCCCCGTCCCGGAGCCCGGGAGCTCAGCAACTTGAGCCGGGTCCCAAACAAAGAGGGCAGCGGCGTGGCTGCCCCTGTCCTGCTCCCGGCCGCTGTACCTGGGCGAGCCCGCGGCGCGGTCCGGCGGGGCGATGGCCGAAGCGAGGCTGGGCTGCGAGCAGCTCGCGGGCGGCCCGTCCTCCTGGCTGGCGGCCCGCACCCGCGGCAGGGCCCCCTCGAGGCCGCTCGGGCAATCGC